TTTTTTACACTCTCCTCTTTCACCCTCATTACAGTACAAGGTTCCTTAATTCCTCCTCACTTTCTGCCACCAGAGTGGTATCATCTGCATATCAGAGGTTGTTGAGATTTCTTCTGGCAATCTTAATTCTGGCTTGGGATTCCTCTAGTCCAGCCTTTCGCATGAGGTGTTCTGCATATAAGTTAAATAAGCTGGGGGACAATATACAGCCTTGTCGTACTCCTTTCCCAAATTTGAACCATAAAGTTGTTTCATATCCAGTTCTAACTGTTGCTTCCTGTCCAATGTATAGGTTTCTCAGGAGATAGATAAGGTGGTCAGGCACTTCCATTTCTTTAAGGACTTGCCATAGTTTGCTGTGGTAACACAGTCAATACTATAGTATTGACCATTAAAATGTATGGATGCGAAAGATAGACAATAAAAAAAGGATCATATTTGAAATATGGTACTTGAGAAAGAATGTACTTTCAGAAGGACCAATCAGGTTCTAGATAAAATGGAGCATGATTACTAAGTGGAAATTAAAATACATAAACTGAGTCCGTCCTAATGTGGAGAAATAATGAAAAGACCAGAGTCACTGGAAAAAGCAGTAACGCTACTACACATGGAAGGGAATATGAAATGAGGATATTGAATATGAGATGTGTTGACTCAATGAAGGAAGTTGCAGCCTTTAGTTTGCAAGATCTAAGCAGGTTCATTCATTAGGCATTTTAGACGTCCAACTGTAAGGTTGCTATAAATCAGATGCAACTCAAAGGCACATAACAAAAAATAATACACAAGATTAAGGCTCCAATTCAAATCAGGCAGAGATTATAGGCTAAAAACAAAATAAAAATATTAAATAAAAAAAATGTGGTGCCACCACGTTTTTGTCTTTTTTATTCATTCTTTTATTTTTACTTATATCTCTGCCCGAAACGTAATTCGGATTGGATCCTTGAACTATAATTTTGTGTGTTCTTATTTGTAGTCTTAACGTGCCACCACATTTTTGCCTTTCTTATTTGTCCTTTTATTTTCATTTGGTTTTTCCCTATAACGCTTGCACAGCGTAACACGGCTACCTTTTCTACAACTTCGGACGGAGAGCCTAGCTGCGAGTAAACACCTCCCCAACGGTCATTTATAAAATAAATCGGTTTTACGGCGCCGCCTTTTTAAACATTTCCTATTGTTTTTTTTCCCCCACGATAAAGGAGACTCACACGGGCACCGTTTTCAAGTCTAAGCGGTAACTCGCCCGCCTTCGCGGTGCCCCAAGAGCGTCTTTAGTACTACAGACTAACGAGAGCTTCCCCTGCGGGATGTCCCTCCTCTGGGACAGCGGTAGCACCGCAGCCCGGCTAACTGAGCGGCTCTGAGCTCCATTACTTACATCTGTCCCCCTCTGCTCCGCCGTTACCCCTGCTCGGGAGTCACGTCTCCCTGAGGGCAGCGGGGCTTCTTCCCAAGGGACCCCACACAGCGGGCAGCACCCGCTTAACCTGAGGGAAAAGGTCGGTCTTCCCACAAAGTCCTTACCGCAGACGCTCCAAGAGGCTTCCAGCTCCCGGGGGAAGCGGAGAAGAACCGCCTGTATTTAGAAAGGAAGACGCAAGAAAGGCGCCGCCGCCGCCGCCACCACTTCGCCCTGCTCCGTCGGCCCTTCTTCGCCCTCACTCAGTCATCCCCTCCACGCTCGCGTCCTCTCCAAAATAACCGCCGGAGCATTCAAACGCCAACATCCGCTCACGTCACAAAAGGGACGAGACTGGAGCTCCGCCCTTTTGTCGTTCCATCCGTTGATCGAACGCTCGTCTATCGTGGCTTTCACGACATTTTTCCCGATCTCGTTGATGGGACTTTTGACTGCTACTGTCTTGCGCGTGCGCGGGGGAGGGGATACGCAATAGTTTCTCGGTTCTCGGGGGCTGGAGGCGCTGCCTCGGAGAAGCGTTGAAATCGCCTGAGGGAAAGTTTTTTTTGGGGGGGGGCATCGGGGGGGGGGGGAGAATACGCAATAGTTTCTCGGTTCTGTAGGGTTGGGGGCGCTGCCTCGGAGAGGCGTTGAAACCGCCTGAAGGAGAGTTTTGGGGGGCGGCGGCATTGCTGCGCGCCTGGCAGAAGGGCACCGTTTGTTTCCCGCTCCAGTTAGCACTTAGGCATGTTAGGGAGGATCCCAGAAACAGGCGTGCGAAATATATGCCGTCGTGGGTAGTCCACTTAGGCATGTTAGGGAGGATCCCAGAAGGGAAACAGGCGTACGAAATATATGTCGTCGTGGGTAGTTAATCCTGTACTCACTTAATTCGGAATAAGGTCCACTTGATTTAGCGCAGCACATTTATGAATGGACATACATAGGGTTGTGTGGCGATCTGTTAAAGGTGATCCTATTGTGCATGCATTTTTGTTACGTGTCGGTCAAGTCGCCTCCGAGTTATGGCGACCCCATGAATGAGCGATCTCCGACTAGTCCTGACCTCAACAGCCTTGCTCAGCCCTTGCAAACTCAAGCCTATCGGAGTCAGTCCATCTCGTATTTGGCCTTCCTTTTTCCTGCTGCTTTCCATATTTCCCAGCCTTATTTGTCTTTTCCAGAGAACCCCGTTTTCTCACGATATGCCCAAAGTAGGACAGCCTCAGCTTTAACATTTTTGCTTCTGGAGATAGTTCAGGCTTGATTTGATCTGGCATGAATTTTAGCTAGTAAATAAAAGCATAAGAAGTTTACTGGATCAGACCACTAGTCCATCCATTCTAGCATTCTCTCCCCCAATGACTAGCCAAAACAAAATAAAACCTGTTTCTAAAGTCCAGAAGCACAAGAACTAGTGGCTCATCTTCACCAAAGGCCTGGCATTCAGTTTTCTGTAATAGTGAAGCCAATATACATCTGTCATGAATAACTTACTACGTGACATCAAGTCATATCCAGTTTATGGTCATTCTAATAGGAATTTTCAAGGTACATGTGATACAGTACTTAAGAATTGACTTTACTACTACTGTATTGCAACCCAGTGAGTTTCCATAGCTGAGCAGGGATTTGAACCCTAGTCTCCTGAGTTGCCATAGCTGAGCAGGGATTTGAACCCTAGTCTCCTGAGATGTAGTTCATCATTCTAGCTACTACACCACACTGCCTCTTGTCATAACTAGTAGCATATAGTCTCAGTTCATCACTCTAGCTACTACACCACACTGCCTCTAGTCATAACTAGTAGCATATACAGGTAGTCTTTTAAAGCTGTTCAAGTTGGCATCCAGCACTGCATCTTATGGTGCTGATGTGATATGATGTGCTGATGTGATACGGTACTTATGGTACAATTGATGTGCATAGAAATGTTACTTTTTATCTGTCCCCAAGCTCACATCCTTCAGCTTCAGTGCATAACACTCAAATTAAGGTGGCCATATGTGCTGTTTTAGGGAGGGCAGGCTTTAGTTTGAAGGGCTGCCAGAGGACAATCCCATGGAAACTCTCCTCCATTTGAAGAGGTGTCCAGTTAAGAGTCTGATTTCAAGGTGGAGAACCATAAGGAAGGAGGCCAGGATCCCTGAAGTTACCCAGTGACCTATCTAGACAATAAACTCAGCAGGTACATAACTCACATGATCCCTGTCTCCATCACATAAGCAAATATTGTATCTTGTACATATATATTAGGATAGGTAATCATTGGCTGAAGTCCAGTAGTAGGTCATTGTCACGTTCCCGCCTGTCCCTTGGTTCTTACACCAAGCAAAGGACACAAGCTACATGTTGTGTCGCTGCCACCAGTTGATTACATCAACATTGTTCATTATTAATGATTGAGGTCTAGGCAATGTGTCATTTAAAAAGAAATAGAAGTTGTTAATTATTACAGGTGATGAAGGTACAGTTGATGTCATTAACTCTTAAAAAACATCCTACTTCATCCATTCTCAACCGCCAACCCTCTCTATCTACTCCAAACTCTAAAAATCCCAAACCCTCCCATCTCCCCCTCCTGCAGCGACTCTTTATCTGGTGACTCTGCCTCTCCAGCACTCTCATTGGTATAAGCAGATAGCTAATTAATATTTATGACCTGGGCAGACGCAGTCACAACTAGAGTAGGCTAGAGATGGGCACCTGGAGGAGGCAGGACAGGGAAGTTGGGATGCTGCTTCTGAGTGGGCACCTGCGGGATGCCAAACCACCAGACCTGTTGTGATGGTAAACTAACCAGGATGTTCTAGAGTAGCCCCATTGAATCAGCAGAGATTTGGTGAATTAACACCTTTGTAAGTTCCACTGATTCAATGGCCTTCTCTACTTACAACTTATTATTGGAGTTCAGCCAGTGTCTACCTAGGGTCTCTTTTTCATGATGTGTGTGCTTTAGCGTAGTGAGGAGAAACATACTGTATTATGACACTCAGCCTAACCACAGACCCCTACAGAAGTCCAAAAATGCATGTAGCTAGATTGGTCAATATATACCAAATGAAGACGAATCTCCTGTAAAGTTAATGGCTTTTAAAAGTGCATTCAAAACCAAACCATCCTTCAATACTTTGCATTATATCAGGAATCATTTACAACAATGTACAGTACAGTTCCTTGGAAAATCTATCTCCCAGCTTCTGTTGGGATTGTAGCTAAACTGAGAAGGAACAGGAGTGTCGGGAGGGGGTGTGGCCAATGATGTCACTGTCCTTGTTACTCCGAAAATCCCATCGATTTGCCACTGTGAGCCTTGGCTCCATGACACTACTCTATATAAGTGGTGATGCTATCCCAGATACCAGTGTTATGAGAGGGGATGAAAAATGTAGGAACTTAGGCAGCTGCATTATACTTAATAAGATGATCAATCCATTTAGCCTGCTACATTGGTGTAGTGTGGATTGCCAGCATACCCCCTTGAGATCACCTTGGGTCTTGGTGCCAGCAGAGCATCTTCCCTGCACTGCTCCCTCCAAGTGGCCTGCCCATTTTGTTTATGCCAGGGGAGGGAGGCTGGACTGCTCCTGGTGGTCTTTAACCCTCTCCAATGAGGCGGGTCTGCTCAGTCATTGGCAAACCCCATCGCCGCCACCACCTACCTAGAGGACGAAATTCAGTGAGTGAGGCAGGCGCAGGCAGAAGAAGGGAGGAGAAGGGAGACGGGGGTCATGTGCATTCTCACCTGCTGTGTGTTGTGCCTCACCTGATGGCCCCATGGCAGGGGTGAATTTTTGTGCCCCTAAGAATTTTGCACCCAGGGCAACCACCCCTGTGGCCCTGACCATGCTACACCACTGGCCTGCTATTGTCAACCAAGAGAGGCAGCAAAGCTCCAGGGCTTCAGGAATTAGTCTTTCCTAACCTTATCTGGAGATTCCTCTAAGCATTCCTCTTGAAGTACTGTAGTCATACTTGGTGATGTTTAGCTTACCTAATAAGATGAAATTCATATGTTCAGAATGGTATGGTTTCTCTATATTCCATTTTTTAAAAATGCACAATTTTATACATTTGTTTTACATTCTCCGCTCCACCTAATATAATGGCACCAAAAGAGGTGGCTGGGCTTTAGGACTGAGATACCAAAGAGGTGTCGCTGACTACCTAGACACGTGTAACTCACTAGAGTGTGATACTAGTGAGAAGGCGAGCCTCCCTGGGGATGCTACATCAAGTTTTATGTGACAAGGATTAAAGTCTATATTCCCTCAAACTGGTTCTTCTTGAGGTTTCCCCTAGAGCAGGGGTCTCCAAACTTTTCAGTATGAGGGCCACATCATATATTTTACATATTTTCGCGGGCTGAAGAGGAAAAAGCAGTGTTATAATGAATGAATAAGTTTTATTTGGATCAACAAACCTGGATCAACAATACTACAATATTTGTTGCCAGCACGTTCAATGCAACCCTAGACATCTCTACTCTGATTTAAAGCCTCCTGTTAATGTTCCCTGGCATTGACTCCCCAGGAAATCCCCTCAGCCTTCCCTCAGCCAACACTGAAGGCTCCACCATCCCTCTTGGGGGTCTATCTTTCCAGGCTCCAGTGAACCACCCAATGTACCCAATAAGAAGCGTCCTTTCAAGCCAGACAGAGAGAGGAGATTGAGGAAGGATGGGAGCTTTGTTGTTTCCCTGCTGAGGATAGGCTGAGAGAGTGAGTGAGAGAGAGTGCATGTTAGGGCAGGGGACGAGCAAGAGACCAATCCTGTTGCCAGGCACTGTTAGGGAAGGTGGGGGCAGGGTGGGAATGGTCCCAGAGTCTCTACCGTCCATTCTAGGCAGCCTTGGACCCACAGCATACTTGACCGGGCTGGATAAAAAGGCAAAGCGGGCTGGATGTGGTCTGTGGGCCATAGTTTGGAGACTAAACCTATTGCAATACTAGAGATACTTACTTGGCAGTAAGCCTCAGTGAATTTGAAAGATCTTCAGAGTAACTAACCTAGGGCTTTACAACTGATTGACTGGCTGCCATTGTCCCTTACCATTTTTTCAGTGTAGCAAAGTAATATGCATTATTTTTACTGTATGCTTTAAAAATGGAAATTATTTGCCAGAGTGCTTCTGATTTCTCCCCTCTCTTTGAGCAATTAATTTGAGAGTTTCTGTGTAAATTTATCACCAAGTAATCTTCAGACAGGTAAAAATCTAATTTTATCCACTTTCACATCTATGGTTACTCCTGAGAGATTATTATCAGAATGTTGCTCTTCTAATGGTTAGATATCTTCATCTTATCAAATTTATAGAGCAATTAGTGGCTTTGCTGAGTTAGCACCCCCTACTGAGCAATTAAAAAAGATCTCTGAGGTCCTTCTAGTTTCCTCTGCAAAAACTCTCCACTTCTTTTCTTCCTGTCAAAT